TTTGTGCTTTTGGTCATTGTCTTATTCTGCCCTTAAATACAGTTTGGTGCTTGTCCCATTTTTTATTTGAGGAGCTAAGCTTGTCATCCTGGACCCATGAAGTTGTATCCGTAATATGAATAGAACAGTAGCACTTCAAACACCAGCATGGATTTCAAACAGACCCTGTAAACTCATAAAATGTTAGAATTTAGGATCTTTCCAGAGACAGCCATGAGTGCCTTGTTTAATGTCAGGCTTCCACAAGATCCTTTCCCAGCCAATGTTGTTTACCTGTCTGTCCCTTAAAGAGAAAGGAGACATGGGTCTTGTGTTTGAGTTACTCCCTCTCCAGCTGGAAACGTTGCGTACTATATTCTTTGTTGTATTTATTGCAGAGCATGTGGTACCAGCTTGAGTATACCAAGACCACATCCTTGTATTGTTTTGTTTTTATGATTCATCATTTTCCCAATCATGGAGAATCAAATCTTTCTGAAATATCTTATTTTTGTAACAAAATTGCAGTCTCATCTTGTGTTCTGTACTATTTATTTTGTCATCAGAACTGTTAAAATTCATAGTAAGTGATTTGGCGCTCTGTCTACTTGTTAGCCAGTTTATTTGGGAAAATTATGGTTATCTCCTAGGTATTTCCATCATGCTTTTTTGAAACATACCATTTGGCTCTACACTATTTGAGAAAATGAGTAATTGAAATCTGAACTGTATGCTGTTTTGATAGAAAGTATATTCTGGTTTTGTTTTCTGCTTGGGGAGGAATCAGGTTTCGGCTCAAATGGTCATGGTTCTCCCTCTGTGTTTTGTTTCTGGTAGGTTGTTCTACAAGCCTGCAGAGTAATCTTACAGGATAAAAATCTCCTGAATATATCCTAAGTACGTTGGCATGTATATGTTCTAGAGATACGTAGATTTACCTGTTAGAATATTTGTAATTTAGAGGATTATCATTTCCTTATAGTTTGGACAGGATTTTTCAGTGTCAGGAAAGAAATGTCTGTCTTTATCTTCAACTGATTCTTTGCATTAGTGTAAGGAAATTATCCTTGTAAAGGTGTCTCAGAAAAAGTCTCCTTTGATTCTTTAGTAGCTTGAAGGCGTCACTTAAATTCATCAGTTTTTTTATATATGTATGTGCATACAAAGACTGAAGATCAATATGTTTGGGAAAGTTAAGAGCTGCTAGAAAGGGACCAGTGGACAGTTATTCAAATTCAGCATAATTGAGACTAGGGATGCAAACAACTGCTCTTAATTTTGATATCCGTACCTAATTTTCTTCTGATGATTCGTGTAATTTCAAAAACGTGATTTTAAAGATGAAGCTTTCTATGGAGCTGTCAAAATTATATAGTTCACATTTCTGAAATAATCAAATTACATTTTCTTATACATAACTAGAGAGACCGAGGTGATTTTCACATGCAGTATTGTGCTTAGCACAAAAACAGATGCTAATGTGACTATCAGTACAGGACCAAACTTTATCTGAGATCTGGGGTGTTGCCATGGCAATTCCAATTGTTGGAAAAAAATTCTCTTTTGTGCTTCATTCTGACATTATATTCCAAAATGATGATTATGAAGAAACATGCAACCCAAAATGGGGGAAAAAAACCTCTTCTTGAAGATGTAAAACATACTTTCTATTGCATTTACTTTTTCTGAAATGCTGAGTGTGTGCCTGGATTGTTACGAGCTGTATTTTTTGCAGATTCAGATACATTGCTATTTCTCAAGCTGCCATAATAATACTCAATGTTATTTCTCCCAAATGTAATAATCAACATAATAAGGAATTTGGAGACACATATCCCATTTCCTATGCAAAATATGCATTTCTAGTATATTATACTGCTGATGTGGACCTTTTGCTTTCAGCAATACTGCCTGTGTTAGTTGAAGCATATCTAAAATACAGATCTTGCTTGTGTTATTTATATATATCAGCTATATAATCTATCTATAATAGAATAGCTCATAATAGCCAATAGATCAGTCATTCCTGTTTAGTTATAAAATTGTTTTTCTACCAGTACATCTTACTGTGAGAAAATTGATATGGTTATTACTTGTTCCTTGCTGAATCAATATCCAACAAGCTTTAAATAAATAAATAATAACACCTTCCACCCCCCCCCCCAAAAAAACCCAACAAACAACAAAACCACACAATACTTCCAAAAGAGAAACAAATGAAGGGGTACAGTTAAAATGTGGTTTGCACTGTAATTCATGCTGAAGTTTATTGTGCATTCTTTTATGTACAAAATGTGTAAAATGGGAAACGTTTCCAGAAGAGAACTAATTCTTGCAGTGCTGCATTGCTGCTTTATAAATAAATCATTGTCCTTTCTCTATTGATCACTGGAACAATTCAGTCAAAGAATGCTGACTTAGTGCAGCCCTTCTCAGGATGGCTGGATTGAAAGAAAAAGCTGGGTAAGTGGGACCCAGCAGCAGGGAACAGGGGAAATCCCAGACTGGTTAGAGATCAGGTTTGGTGCATAAAATACGGCCCTTTATTTATCTTTTACCTTCAAAAAAACTTAACAAAGCAGCTGATTTCTACAAGATTTTTTGTCTGTTTTTCTTTATTTCCATAATGTCATTGATCAGGGAAAATTAAGTATGAGACAATACTAGTTGTAATTAGTGGATGCTGAAAATCTGTGTACGATGTATCGTGATTTTTTTTCAAGAACATACTAAAGAAGACCTTCCAAATTAATCCAGTCTTTTAATGAGTGCAAATTATGACATTTATGTGTCAAGAAATAGGGCCACAATTCTTCCAGGAATATATTTGAAGACTCTCGGAAATAGTTCTGCATTCCTGTGAATTGAGGTGGAATCTGAATTTTATTTGGTTATCTCAAACATCACAATTTGCCAATCTGACAATCTGATGATGTCTGATTTGTCAGGATTGCTGATATCAGGCTTTTCTGGGAATAGGAGTAGCCCGTTACTGTGAGGAGATGAGAAAAACTATCTGGGTTTGCATGTCTGACTATTATGATCAGTATTGGATCTCAGAGGCATCTAATTTTTAAAATATGGCTTTCACTGAATGCTGTGGTAGGTGTCCCTTGCAAGGCTGTACACTCACAATGTTGTTATCCAGAACTTCCAAGTAGTTCTAGAACATAAAGTTCTTATTTTTCATAAAATAAGATTTACTGGTAGATGCATGGCTCAGCTGATGATGACAGGTCATTCAGGGCTGTGGTGATGCATTGCTTTTAAGGCATGTTGTCATCACATAATTTTTTTCTGTTTCTCATTAATTACCAGTATTTCCAGGATGCAGGTCTGTAAAATGTAATTATTTATTCCACTGGGTGTTTTGTCTCTAGTACTGCAGTCAGAGGCAGCACATGCTGCTGTATTCTCACCCGTGTGCAGTTGGCTGGCTAATAGGAAGCAAAGTGACTTGCAAAAGACTTTCTTGACTCCAATAGAGGTGTAGGGCATGGAGCAGAACAGCTCGATGCGGGGAGCTGCGGACTTGAGTGCACAAATTGATCTGAATTGCCTCAGTTGTGCACAGGGTGGCTGGGGGGGGGGGGGTTCTGTTCCCCCTGTGCTGCCAGCAGGGTGCAGCTGTGGGGCAACCAGGGCTGTAGGACAGCATGGACCCACCGGGATCAGCTGCCTTCATGGATCCACTAGGATCAGCTCCCTGTTGAATGTGCAGTCGACAGAAAAGCTTCCCCCAGCTTGAATGATAAACCTGGACCAAAAGGACTCCAGGGAACAAATCTGGAGGTACAGAAAGAGACTAAACATGTCAATGTTGCTAACATGGCAGAAAGAACCTGGCACAGCCCTGGTTTCCACTGGGCTGACAGCAGATAGGCTTTCCCTTTCCTCTCCCAGTGTCCAAGTATCGGTCCGTTCATGCCTTCTGCTAGCATGCTGAAAGGCCTATAATTAACACGGACATAATAAACCATGAAGTATTTTGTTATGTGAAATAATGCGATCTATTAAAATAACAAAAAACCCGGTCGTGTTTGTTATTACTCCTCTGTTTGACCATCTCCCTCTTCCAGCTGGAGCAGAGCCTGACCACTGGCCACTAGATGCCACTGTTGTATAAGGACATGTTGGGCATAATGGCTTAGACAATAACTAATTTACTTAGAGAACATGTATGTGTATAATTAGGAGTCATCAATGTCTTTCTTTTAAAATAAAATAAGTTTACCATATCTAATTAGATATTTCTTATAAGATGGATTTCATTCTAATTGGGTAAAGCTATGCCACTGGTTTAAAAGACAGCAAAGGATGTATTTGTATTCACTTTCACAGTTTCCATATTTTTTTAGTCCTGGCAATAAATGGATCTGATTACACCTTTTAAATCGATGTTCTCTGAAACTGGTATGACATAAATGATTGTTCCGTCATTGTGAGTTTACTGCCATTGTTTTCAGCGTGTGAGGTTTTTTAGTGATATTTCTCTTAATCTCATTCTGTCTTTCCCTATCCTCCTGATTGTGATCTTGAATCTGCATGTTCTTTCCATCCAAACTGAAGTAATCTATTTAAAAAGCCAACAATTGCCACCATGCATGACTCTAGCTTGACCATGACAGCGCAGGCTTTCCAGCATCAGTGAGCTCATTAATCCCCAGCTAATGAACCAGAGCTCCAAAATGTTTGTTGTGCAGGGGGGTTCTTTAAAAGCTCATATTTCCTGTAACTAAGTGTTGCCAACAGAAAATCTAGATTTTTCAGATGTCGGACTATATTCAGCCGTGGTAAAATTCAAATTCAGTGCTTTTCTGTAGGGAAAATTAATACCTTTAAGCTTCTGAATGAATTCAGAAGGCACTGGCTAGTCAGTGTCACACCCAGCATGGGCAAGGTTTACACCCCTTCCCAAAGCAATTTCATTACTGCCTGAATTTGCTTCGCCAAGTGAGTTTGGATTTTTCCACTAAAATGCTGTGTCACGTGCTAACGTAAAGTCTGTGTTCATTTTACAGTTCTTTTAGATCTGTGGGGTGGTCTTTCTTAGATCATCTCAGGTGATACCAGGCTGGAACATCGACCACTTCCACCTTGTGAGTGTTCCCATCAGACTGTTCCTACCTCTGTCCAACATGTGAGCCAACCCTAGCTGTATTTCCCAATTATTGAATAGAACTTGTCTATTCAATAGGATGGCATCTTTTAAATTCCTTGAAATTATCTTCTGAAAAAAGCTACTCCTGCAACAAAACAAAGGCAAAGTCATTTTAGAATAGTTTTCAAATTGTGGTTCATAGCTGCATTACACCTCAGAAATAGCTTGGCTATCTGTCACAGCGGGCACGGCTTCCTCTTCTGTCCCCATACTCTGTATACAAAATGATGGGTTATTATACAAAAGTTGTATCTCTGTCTTATTTACTGAAGTGTTGGTTCCTAAATAAAGGATCTCAACAATGATTTGAGCTGGCTGAAAACCTGCTTGAAAATTATGTCTTTCAGTAGAAGGTTTTACACAAACTCTGTTTCTGAAGTTAAAGTACTTCAATTCCCAATGATAAAATTCATTAAAATATAAATTAACCTAAACAAACAGATGAATCACAATGGTATATTTGCATATCATCTATTTGGTGTGAATGTAGCAGTTTCTTCGTGTAGACTAACAGCCACTGCAATCTTCACAACTGCATCATTGAGGAAATGACTGTGGGGTGAATGAGAAAGCAAAGAGGACAAGGACAAAAATTATTTCTGCTGAATGGGAAAGAATGCTGCAGAATTCTGCAGTTGGAATTAAACCCTACATTAAACCAGTTTCCTCCACTACGACGTATCTCAGCTAATCAATTAGCATAGGAGGTTTATGACTATCTCAGTATTATAATAATAGACAAGGATTTAAGGAGATATCATGTTTTGATTGTATTTTCAGAATTGTAGATAATTAGTGATTATTGCAATGAGGGTGAATATCATCTAAGAAATAAAGGTGAAGAGTGATCAGGCTGGATGGAATGAGAATGTCTTATCTCAGGGGAGATAAATGGTCCACCTGCAGTAAGACCTTTCCATCTGCAAAAGGCAGCAACAAAAATTTCTAATAAAGTTTGACCTGTTATTCTGTAAGTAATATATTCAAGACTCCAATACGGAGTATCTTGTCAATTCCTCTTAGTAAATGAAGCTGAACTGATACAGCAGCTTGTGCAGTTCCTCTGATCTGTACCAGTTCTCTGTATATGCCTTCATGTGTATTTCCGTGAATTACTGATGCACTTGGCCAGTGAGTTTTCTATGACTTCAAAGCCAAGACTTTCACTTTGCCTTATATAAAACATGCCCAGAAGCTGGGTACTGAAGAAAATAAGTAAGGAGAAAAATATTGATTTTTAGATGTTAGGATAATCTAAGAAAATTTTGTTTGTTTTTTCTTTATATTTCTCGTTTGTTGCGAATACTTCCCACGATATTCTTTTGTAGTAAATCAATTAGCTCCATATAAATGCAACTAATAACTGCAAATATGTCATTTGTAACATCCAGAAAGTGCTATGGCATGGAAGGAAATATTCTTAAGAGACACTATTCTACATGTGTCCAGTTTTCTAGGGAAAAGGATGAAGAACAGATTGGTTACTCTTCAAGAATGATGGTCATCAGGCTCATTGTTGACTTTTTGAAAAGGCTTATGGTTGACATCATACAGCACAAACTTGATTAACTCTAATATAATTTTTAGCTTTTGTGATGCAACTCAGTTTGTTGTTGTGCATTGCTCTGACAATGTAGTGTTAGAAAGACAGTCAAAAGAGCCAAACAGTCCCAGATTTATGCCCTTTTTAGAAATGACTAAGACATTTTGAATCCTATAGATTGACAGACCTTTATACTTCTGAATCACCTAGAATATCTTTGAAAATATGACCTTTAATACAGTCCCATCTTTCTAAACAGCTTCAAGGGTCATCCCAGCGTTTCCAGATAAATTTGGAGACAAATAAAATGAGGAACTGCGGAGCTCAGCCTTAACCTGAGAAAGAATAAATCACAAGATGTGGAAAAAAAAGAAAGTTCCCTGACTACAGATTTTCAAACAATACAATTTTACTTTAATATCATATCCCACAAGTTCTTCAGTCACATGAGAACCTGAAGCGTGTAAGTAACCTGACCAAGTATGACTATTGCTACTCTTTAGGAAAATGGTTCAATAACTCATTGATCTCCAATTGCTTAAACTTGTCTAAAATATCTTCCTTATTCTACTTGATATGGTCAATTTTTTCATAAGTGGAAGAATTTTTAATATTCAACTTGGTAACATTTGAAATCAGCCTGAAATAGACAATTTTATAAGAGTTTTATAAACTTCATTTAAACTGAATCCAAGGAAATGGGAAAAAAAGTATTGCAGATGAGTAATTTTTAAGGAATTGGGAGGAAGAGACACCATTATGTAAAGGAATGTTTATTATCAAAGCATATAAATGGCTTTAGCTGACAGCGGAACAATAACTTCAAAATTTCACATATCATTCTCAAATTTTAATAGAAAAGGAAGCTAGAAAAAGGAAGGTAGATTTATTCTATTCTGAAGATAAGAAAGGCTGGTGTAATTGTGGTTTTTAAGTATTTTTCAGGCATAACTTTTGATTTCAATGTTTTTAATTCTGATTCACAGTAATAAAAACTAGGTGCAAATGAGTGCTGATGAGTCTGTATTGAAGTTAAAGGAATAGTTAAAAATGGCTATGAATATTCATTTAAATTCAGAAATGAACTCCAAATTGATCATACCTGTGACTCTTTGGGAATTTGCTCTCTATGAGCATACAAGCACTTGAAATTAACTTTCATGAATATTTGCAAAAGCTAAGTTTCAATTAGATATTTCAGATACTTGCAGGAAATAATTTTTCAGGGATATATTTAATTGTGAGATTTGGATTTCACATCATGCTGCCTGATATTCATGATCTGTTCAGTGAGACTGCATATCTGAAAGCCCTCAGGAAGGCTTTGGCTGGAGGGAACACTTTGGAGAACCTTTACTTTGTGAATTGCAGGATTCATCAAGAAGAAGAAACAAAGAAGATACAAGAAAATAAGAAACTGTGCAGATTTCAAATTTCCACTTGAGGAATTTTTTTTTAATAATTGTAATTCAGCATGAAGAGAATCTTAGAGGCCAATTTCTCCTCACTTGTGCTGTCAGATGATCACTGACTATATCCAAGCAGAATAATTTTAAGAAAGTGATTGGGTTTTTTTTAACCATTAAAGACAAAAATCCTGATAGAATGCAATGGCTGATAGTTTAGGATAAATTAGAAAAGTGGTATACATGCAATGACTGTCAGTGGAGCTCCACAATGAGATATGTAGTTTCAAATAGAAGCTGACTTCATGTAAGAAGTCCTAGATCTAATCAGATGTTTGTATAAAACTGTTCTCATGGTGTATCCAGTTTAAGCATGACCTTAAGCCTGTTGTGACTTGCAGGAAGAACTGAAGCCAGAAAGAGTATTCTTACTAAGGAATATGACAGAAATGACAGTTTGGCAATCTTCCATATCAGAAGAACAGCCACCAGCAGGTGAGTTGAGAGGACAAGATGTGGCCAGCTTGGCACACGTACATTTGTATTCCAAGAAGGAAGGATTCTTGACCCCTCCATGAACTCAGTGGGATCAGTTCTGGCCTGAGCTCCAATGCACAGGGAAGCTGAGAGAGGTGCCCACAGGACCCCACAGGCTGGCCCAGAGAAGGTGAGCTCATCCACCTTGAATGGGGGAAATAGGCTGCTCAGAGTGAACAGCCTGAGCGAGGTTTGGACTGTATTTGGCAGCCCACTGTGCTGCTGATCTTGCAGGGGCTAGGTGAGGTCCTTATCCATAACTGCAGTCTAGAAATGCGCTTTTTAATTTTAGTTTTTATTTTGTGAGTTTATTCAATGTGGTGTGCAAGAGTCTAACCACTTATTTTGCTGGATTAAATGTATCCTGTTTTCATCTTTTATTTTGACAAGTGAAAGGCACATTCCCTATGGCTGATTCAGGGCACTTTCTTACTGGTGGAGCAGAGAACTGTACACACTGGCACACAGGTATTCCCTCGGAGCAGAGAAGTGGTTTCCCACCTATTTACTGGAGTCAGCTTGAGGGCAAGTAACAGGCAGTGCTGGGTCAGTCTCCCTCGGCAGGCACAGCCAGTCTCTAACAAGCAGCAGGTGAGGGGAAATTGTTTATGATGCATACGGTACCATAAGAGGGTCGTACAACTCAAAAGAAATTGAATCAGGTTTCTGAAACTGAGACAACTAAATTATGTAGCCAGAACAGTCTTTGTTTGCAAAGGTGCTGAGTACCTTGAATCCCATGTTCAAATATTGTGCAAGCTAAAATACTGTTTATTAGAAGAAATTTGTGAGTAATTTAAAGCCAGGGATTATATGGGGAGTTTTCTAAGTGATTTGTAGATGATTTAAAAACAAGAAAAGAAGGGTGAATAAATTATTTTGTTACCTATTGCTTCTTCATCTCTAGTTTGGATAGTGAGGGAATCCAACCCCAGTGGCTAGAAGGCATACATGCCAAGATTGGATTTCCTGTGTAAAAGCTATACAATGTGATAACACAGTTGTACTGCATATTCAGTTTTGATATGTAACCTTTTAAATAAATTGGAATACTCTTTGTGGCTGTACTGGCACACACAGAGAGATCATAAACAATAATTTTGTAAAGGTCACTTCCACACTAAGCGCTTGAGCTCATGGCAAGAGCAACATAGGGCTATTAAAGGACCTTTATGCTTCTATTTTTTGGTGTCTGTTAATATTTTTGCAGCTTTGAAGCTCTGTTTAACATAAAGGCTCTGTAGTCTCTCAGGCCATGGGTTTGCCCATGCAGCCCTTGCTGTGGGGCCCTGGGCTGCCTTGCTGTGCTGCAGGGCTGGCAGTGAGTGCCCGCACTGGCTGTCAGAGCCAGGGGTTACTGGCGGAGGTAGCGCGATGCAGAATACCCGGGGCTGGCAGCATTCCTCCTGCTGCGAATGAGGGGCAACACAGCACGATCCAGGCTGTGGAGGCTGCTGACCTGTTGTGTCAGGAGCATCTCAAAAGAACCAGGTATCAAGAATCTGGGCAATACATGAGGGCCAACAGTGGCTGAGGAACTTGCACAAGGTGAGAGGTACCAGATGCTTGCCAAGCTCAGTCCAGCTGCATAGCACACTGCTCAGATTTTCCTGCTGCTTCCTTCCAAGGTGCTAATGAAGTTGTTTGAATCATTTTATTTTGGTCCAGTGCAAAACTTGTTCTCTTGCTCTTGTGTGTTTCCAATAAAATACTTTGTCTCAGAGTAAATTTTTGGAAGCTCATAGTCCATCCAACCAACATTAAAACCACGTATATCTGCTGGTCTTTAGAAACAAAGGCACATTTTGTTACAAACTCCCTTTATGTTATAGGATGTTTTTCTTTCTTGTGATTGACAAGACAGCCTAAATCAATATCCTTTTATTTCCAGACCTCTATTATTTTGAAGAAGTCCGCATCTGTCTTGATGACAGTGTAGGGAAAGTTATTTCACCACTGTAGTGGCATCAGAGGACACTCTCAGCAAGGTAAGTGTAGTCTGTCTGGTGTCATTAAAATAGCCCCTAGCCTTTGGATGTCTGTGGTATCTGGGGGCTTCTGACCTCCAGGAAAGTCGAGCAGGAGACTGAGGTGGTGGGTTTTAACTCCTAGATGTTTTCTCTTCAGTGCTGCCTGGTGGTGTAAAACCACTGTGGCTCATAGGAAGAACAGAATGTTTGTAAGGATGCCGGCAATGTGCAGAGGTGTTGTAACTAGCGAACACCACAGTGCGCCCAGAGAAAGGGTGCTTAATGTTGCAGACATGGCCTCTCTAGCACAGAGAGGTAGGTGCTGCCTACCACAGGAGGTGGCTTGTCCGTGTGCTCATAGGGACACTCCCATGGCTCCTCTGCCGCAGTTGGAATTGTCCCCATCACACACACAGCGCTGTGCAGAGCTGGGCCAGAGCTGGGGTGACAGCCCAGGTACCCCCTAGGTACTGGGGCATGCTGCCGGTATCCGTGCTGTTGTAGTGTTTATTCAGTACCTGGGAATTTTATTAAAAACTACTTTGCTTCTTTCTCTGTGAAAAGTCCTCAAATGGATGATTCAAAGCTTTGATTTTCTCTTCTGTGGAAGACCCATACCTAGCACCTATCTGTGATCTTGGGGAGGTTACCTGAACTCAACAACAGAGGGATGTCTGAAAGTTTAAATTACCCGTATATCTCTTATCCTGGAAAATCTCTTCACTATTTCTGTAGGCAAGATGGTAATAATCCATATTTCCCAAATTTAAAGTATCAGTGACAGTTTGTTGCTAGCCCCTCCGGCATTAGCATGGACAATCATATTAATACTTTGTCTATTTTATGAGATTCTTAATAACTCACCTAAATTTTAATGCATTTACTTGACAGAATTTTAAGGAAGGTCATAACATTATAAAAGTATGTATTTGTACTTGTTCCACATCACTCCACAAAGTGTAACTGTTTTTTTCCTCAAGCTGATGCATTGTAGCTAATAATTTTACTCCTTTAGCAGCATTTGTCTGACCTTCCCTACCTTCCCCTGTTTCCTGAATCAAAAAGAATTTTTGGTAAGATACTACATAATCTTCCCAGAAAAGGGATAGGACTTCAATCTCATAATAAGAAAGAAAAGATGTAATTTCCCTTGTGATTGATAAGCATAATTTGTAAATGAACCTGCTTTATGAAATGGTGAAAAATGGTTGGAGCAGTTAAAAAATGACTTGAATATAGAGAAAATAGATTCCCATAAGAAAGAATATAAATTTGTAAATGCAGAATACAAAATTATTTTTAGACATTAAATTAAGAAATTAATTTGGCTGACATTACCTTCAATTTACATAGAAACCATCTTTCACATTTTCCACGTAGACCATTTTCTGTGTTCTGCTGTGACTGAGGGAAAAACAAAGCACATGAGTCCTTTAAGGCAAGAGAAAACCATCCCGAAAGTCATTTTAACTGATTCCAAGAGTTTTGCAGCGGGCAGAGATTCAGGGAATGACAAAGGCACGCAGAGAGGGAGGCAGCAATGCCAGGGAAACAGCTGGTGTCTGAAAAGCCCAGTTTGCCGTCCCCGTTACTGCTCTGTGTGGAGGCTGGGGCGGAGCCGTTTACTGATCAGGCCAGGCTCTAGCACGGATACTGCGGTGCAGATGCTGATCTAAAACTCATGGCTTGTGAGGCCCCAGCCAGCTGGCATCTAGTACAGCAAAACCAGATCCTAACTACACACTGCCATGGAGAGTTGGAAAACCAGTTCCTTGCTTGACCACATGGACTCATCGGGAATGGCTGCATTAAGGAAAAGATTCTGAGGTGGACTTCTTTCAGTTCTGCTCACACATTGCTCCTAGGCTATGTGGACACATGCTGGCCCATCTCTGTGCTTCTGGCTTTCTATCACGAGACTGAAGCAAATTTTCAATTTGTGGCTCATTGTTTCTCTAATTCCTCTGAACACCCCAAAGCTGAACAGCTGGTGAAAGCTAAAAGTATGTCTTTAAGGCACCTACCAGCACTACAAACAATCCACAGCATGGTTAGATTGTGTCATAACAGTGTCCAGAGTGTTTCTTGTGCAGGAAGTCCTAGGTGAACACCCATGTAGGTGCAGCTAATTTGCACAAGCAGAGTCCAGCTCTTGAGCCCCACTGAATGTCTGGGAACAGCCATAGGTTGGTTTAGAGGCCAGGGATGGTGACTATCTGATTCTTCCTCTTCCCTCCGCATCCTTCCCCATCTTCTTGGTGAGGAGAGTAAGAAACACCTATTTACTCTTCCTAGATCAAACTGTAACTAGTCCATAATGAGACATGCCAGTATCCTTTCTTCCTATTCAGGCACATAAAACACTCAGCAAGTTTTTCCAGGCTCAAAAACTCACTGAGTTGAGCCTTGCATGGTGACGCTGCATGACCAGAAGCAAAGTGCAAATATGTCTAGAATTCAGGACCTCAATTTAATTCACTATTGTCAGTACATTTCAGACACAGGATGGAGAATGATACATGAATATCCAAAACACGATGTATGTATAAAAAGTCTAGTAAATATTTTCGATTTCTTCCACAAGCATTTTTTTCAATAAAAGAACAACTCTGCTATTGTGTTCTGACATTGAAGCTCAGTAGCAAACTGTGTGAAATCAGCTATTCACATTAACTGTGGCCAGGTGAAGGAAACGCCACGGTGAAGATATTAGGAAGAGAGAAGCAGAAAACTAGGTTGCCCATTCTCCTTTCTCTCATTTCTTGCACAGTTTGGCAGAGAGTTCAGGAAGGGGCTTTTCGCCTCTTCAGGGAGAGACATAAACTTGGACCACACATTCTCAAACACTGCCAGCTTGTCATTCAGCTCATGCATTCAAGATGTTGCATATTAATAGCACTCCCTGATGGCTGGTGGATAGGGTCTCTCCACCTATAAAAAATAAGCCTCTTGGCACAACAAAGTACAAAAGAGGCCCATACAGGGAAAAAAAATGCACTTGAGAACTGGTTTGGAGAAACTCTGCACAGATGCTCATGTGCAGATGCATATTTCAGATTTTTTTTTCCTGATTAGCATGCAGCAAACTCACCTGTTTTGCTGCCTAGAGAAGTCACAGCAGACATGGAGAAACACCTGCGTGAGTTCAGTTCTGTCTCCCTGTGAATATGATTTTCACAGCAACCTTTTTCAATTGCCCTTGTGTGTAGCCACTGATACGCTTTTCAGTCACCTTCTTGGACATGCCTAAGCCATCAAACACAGAATAGTACTTCAGGATGAAGACAAAGCATGAACAGTGCAGGGAGCTGTATGTTGAGAAGGGAATGGGTGGGTGGACTGGTCCCACCATCCTTACTGTACAGGTGCTTTGGGGGAGCATTGGGAATGCTCAGGCCAGATTGGTTCTGGCATGGCTGAGATAGGAGGATGAGCTTGCAGGACCTGGGCAAGAACCTAGCATTTGTGATCTGCAAATGATCTGACACTTGGCACGTATGTAGCTTTACCTGAGGTCTCGTCGTGGGATCCAAGAAAATGAACCAGGCTGCTTCCCCCCATCCCCTGCAGTGTGCTGGTTGCACGTGTCTGCTCTTAATTCTCACGCTGAGCTCTACAGACAGATCCTACATATACATGGGGAATAAACTTCCTTTGTACTCTGATCCACTGTAGTTTACTCCAATGGCAGGAGGCACAGCTCAGTTCTAACCGTGTGTTTTGTAAAAATGAGCCTCAGGAGGAGAAGGTGGAGAGAGGGTTGCTTATACATGTGTTGGTATCTGATGCAATCCTCAGCATGAGCCACGTTTTTCTGGATATTTCAGCATATACTGAGAATGACACATGAGCAGTCCAAGCTATTTTCGGAACTGACAGTTTTCCTTCTCACTCCAACAATTGCTTCTTCAATACACTAGAGTATGCAAAGTGCTTCAATAAAGTTTTAATTAGGAGTAGGAGTAACAGTGAAACTAAGGAAAAACTTTAGGCAAAATGAGAAGTGACTTCAGCATATACCTGTTTTGCAGGTTTGTTGTTAACTTTTTGAAAGAAACTGCACATTTTGGAATTTGTTGGTTTCTGGCAAGGATTTCTAGAAGGAATCTTTTTCAAGAGTCCTGAAACAGCCAAAGAAAGATTGTTTCTATGATGTTCTGACCCAGGAAAGACCCAGCAGAAATCTGCTCTGACGGGAATCATAGGCTAAAGCAGTCTGGATATATTTTGATCTGAGCTCTCAGGTAGTTCTCTAAACCAAAATATTCAAAATGTTTGAGATTTTTAAAAAGCTTAAAATCTTCTCAGATCCTTACAAGAGAGAACAGATTACAAGCAGAAGTTTCCAGATAAATCTGAGATGGATTTTGCTGCAGTGGCTCTTTCATACTCTTTGACTGAAGTCTGCTGACTGACACCAATAACACAAATACCTGATGGAAGGGGCCTTGACTTTTTCTTAAGATACCCAAATCAATTAGGTGTCTGAGGCATGGTGGTGTATTTCCTAGGAACTTAACTTCTCTCTGTTACCCCGACAGAAGTAACCAATCTCTTTGGAGCTTGCAAAGGAAGGTGCATCCCACAAAGCTAATGTTATGTGCACCACTTGTAGACAGGTATGTTTAACAAAAGATGCATTCTGGATGCGCTCCAAATATCATCACTATTGTTTAATTTCAACTCCAGTCCTGCATCTGTTTAAGATTATGTCAAAGATAATAATCTCACCAGACGGATACAAAATACAAAACAAATTATGTTGCTCAATTATTTTGTTTACTAGTGGTGTTAAACTACTGTATTTCTCTGAATCATGCAGAAGAGCTATGATTTTTTACCTTCAAACTCCTCTGAAAATGCAGCCATTTAGCATCAGTACCTATTTCTTTCCAGATTACGTTACATGAATGAGTTTGATAGGAGTCACCATGGTGAGGAAAGGATAATGGAATTTCAGGTAAGAGTTCTTCATAATGAATTCATTCCTTACACCATGTTAACACCCACCCATGGAATTAAGGACCTTTGTAACACAATGCAACAATTTACTAGACATCACAAAACACCAATTATAGAATTGGACTGAAATAGGCTGCCAAATACTCTGTTCCTGATAAAAGAAGGTAGGTATAGTCATGCCAGCACATTTTAACTCCTTCCTAAAAATTCACTTGGGTCCATTGTGTACTTCCTTGGTGATACAGAATTAAATTGACTGCCATGCTATGTATGACATGAAATGTAAAATAAAATAAAATAAATAAAGGACTAGATCATGAACAGCAGTTAATATGAACTCAGTTTGGATCATATTTATTTAAATAATTATAGCAGATTGTTAACTGTGAGAATCTCCTGATTTTTGCAAGGAAAAATGATAGAATGTTAGCTTCTATATTGTATATTTAGCTTGATAAAAGGAAGCCAGCCTGTATGGAAGAAGCATGCAACTGAGGTTCCTCAGCTGATATATATAAAAGGACAATTATATGTCAGTACTTTACAAAGAACTCTTAAATCCTTAGACTGAATCTTGTCTGGTTTTGCTGGTAGGAGAGTACCAAACTGTAAGCAGAACTGAGCAGGATCTGACTTTCCATCACAGACAGTTAATAATTAAATCAAACATTATATTCAACAATAGAACATATGCATCAGCTTCTTTCAAATTGCATTTCCTTCCTGTTAGATCCATTAGTGTAAACCAGACTGCCTTTAGAAAACCCCTTATTGCTGCTGTCTTTCAGCACAGTTCCTGAAATGGATAATGTGGTGCGTATTATGGGCAATTACACAGAACTCCCTAGTGACAGGGTTTTAGAGTTTCAGAATAAAACAGCTGGAACTACAGGGCTGTAAACTAATCAGAAAAAGAGACAATAGTAAGAAATCTAATGCACATTGTTAGAACATGGACAAAGACTACACATTAAATACTACATATCACTATACTTACTGTGTTGCACACTATTTTCACTGCAAAATCCTGGTTAACCCTTGAAGGACAAGGCAGTCAAAACCCAAAGATATTGCCATGAAAAAATGCATGCATGGCTGTATAACCTGAGCTAATTGGAAACATTAAAGGAAGAAGCCTTGAGTCAGAGTCCTGGTTTTCGCTTAATGTCAGTTGAGTTTGAATCAAATAGAGAACTCTAGTCAAAAATGATAATTTATTAACAAATGCATAATGAATACGTATCTAGATATGCTAAGAAACTATGTCTTCATCCCTCTTTTACTGTTTTAAAACACTGAAAATTGGGTTGCATTTGGGTTGCAAAAATTGCATTTGCTCTTGGATATATCAAGACTACTGCCACAATGCATAGTGTTTGATCCTCCATCAGTTTAAATTGATGGCAAAGCTCCCATTAATTTTAGTAATACAGCAGCGAATTTTTAGAATAGCACATGCATCATTTGAAAGCACAATGACCGTGATTACATGTGTAATCACAGTAATTGTGCACACAATTACTGGTTGGGTATCTAACTGCCTTTCAAAAATCAGTTGCTCTACTTGCATGTGTACTCACAGCAGTCACTTGTTCGAACACAGTGCAGCCCAGAGCATCCCCACCTCCATGCTCACCACGGAAATGCTACAGAGTGGGGCTGTGTCTGTGGCAGTAGGTCTGTGCGATAGAGAAGCATGTGCTTATGTTGCAGTGTTCTGAACAATAAATAAGAAAGGAAGAGAAATGGTTGCAGTGTCTCTTTGGGAAAGTAAAAATGTGAAATTACTTCAACTAATTTTTCAAAAGGACAGAGACTGATTTTCACCAGCTCCTGTCTTGTGAGCCTTCTTATCAGCAGGGTCCAGCAGGCATCAGCACATTAGTGTTTTCTAATGCTATGGCAAATTGATCAAATAATGTATTGAATAACAGCACCATACTAGAATAAAATGAAAAATAAAAACTGAAACAAAACAAAACAACACTGAGTAAGATTTTACAGCCTAAAAAAAGTCAGAAAGCAGTTAAAATTTCAACATAGTGTGCAGTGAGTTTCTTGCAGTGCAGAACCCAAGAACCAGCTGCTGTGGCTTACTCTAGTTTAAAAGGTGACTCCTTTTGCTCAGAAGGCTGATTTTTATAGCTGCAGAGGTATAGAAAAGCACATCCTCCTTGGATAGTAATAAGACACGGATATCCATTCTTATGCTCAACAAAATGGTAGCAGGAGAAAATCTGACACAAAACATTTTATTCATTTGTCCCTCAGTCCTGGCCTCCCTCTTCCTCTGTAGTGCAATGAGTATGCTTTGCTTTTCTAGTAACAGCTTTATGACTCCACAATCAAGAGGATGGAGGGGCTGGGCAGGTTGGGCCTGGCTGCCTGGCATGTGCTTCTCCCAAGGGGTCCGTGTGGGGAAGGTTGGGCCGTGAGTCAACATGAGAGAAAGCAGATGTCAGTTAACAGCTAGAAAACACCCTCCTCCTGGGGAGAAATGGGCCCTCTTCCAGGGGATGGCAGCGCTGGGGTTGTGTTAGGGCAAGAAGTAGCACAGCCTCTCCAGGAGCCACCCTTGCTGTGCAGTGACAGCTGAAGGCACTCACTCCAAGGGACTGGAACAGGACAGATCCCACAGCTCATGAGCATGGGCTGCCCAGCAGCCCTGACCCTGATGTGAAATGTAGCTGTCTTCCCATATGGAAGAATCCAAAAAAATTACTATGAATGACAAATTAACTTTTTCTGAGGCTGCCTGTCACTGGGGGAGGGTGGCTGGGCTGGGAGGCCTTCAGTGGACTACACTTTGTATGTTTACCAAGAGGAAAGTCTTGTAAAATGTGCTGGGGTGGATGTAATGGTTACAAACCACACATGCTGTCTAAATAAGATCTGTATATCAAATATCATGTTTGACAGTATCTGGGTCTCAACTTCCCTTGTTTTAGAGGTGAACATTTTGAAGCTCAGCCCTATATGTGGGATTTTAGTCCCATCAGGGTTTGGGATGTTTGGCCCTGGGCTCTGGTATGCTGAAGAGAGAACAAACAGATAGTCCCTTTCAGGCAGAAGAGGGAACAGTGTTCAGATGCTTGAAAAATGTTTGTTCTGCTACTGGAAAGCTTCAGCACCTTTCCTCTCATCAGCACCAGCTTGTGGCTGAGCTCAAGGCTGGGGAGCATTGCACTCTTTGCATGGCTGTACTCCCTGGTTTCTCAGGGCCCATGGCTGCATTGACTTGACATGTTTGCAAGATAGCTTTATGTAAGTTAATTCAGATGCTGTGTCCTGTTGCCTCTGCAAAAATAACTGTTAAATAGTTTTTTAAAACTTTATTGTAGCACTTGATTCCCTTCTTGATTTTCTATAACCATCCAGCTGATCATTGCAGCAGATTTTGTTCTTAATTTCATTACAGTAAATGAGAAGTAACCTCTGCAAAGTCCAATCAGAGGGAATTTCAGCTCTTTATATTGCCTTGTGTCTGCTGTCTTGTACACTGGAGCTGTGCAAGTGAACTAAATTCAGCACAGAGCATTAAACGCTGTCTCTTTTGTAATTAACATCAGAGAGCTGTATGAAGTCTTGAAGCTATGAAATCCTGCAAGTCCTGTCGAAAATATTTCTTTATACAGATCTTAAGTGTTATTCAAAGGAATTCACCCTAAAAGATGGAGAACTGCTGGGACATGAAGAACATAAAGCTCTAAGACTGTATGTTGGAGAAAAGTTCCCTCAGAAGCGTGTGTTTAGATGCCTTTGGTGACACTTGCTGCCTTGCCTGCCATGCCTGCAAGTGTGGCCTCACTTTCACTGTTATTGCAACGTGTCAAGTGAAATGAAAACAGAAATTTGGGAAAGGATATAATTAACCTACTTGTAAACATTAACCTTAAATATCTACCTAATTATCTCACTAATTTAATCACTGCATATCTCAAACTTGTTTGTTAAATATTTAATTCTGCAAATTGTTTTTGATACAGAGGTGTGGGGAGCTTTCTGTGAATGTAAGTTACTCTGTAAAACTCTTTGCAAGATCATTGTTGTGTTCGCACTTCATTGAACAAACCCTGCTGTCAACAAGACTTTTAATGGAAATCACAGGAAACTATGCCCTGAGGCTAAGAGATATTGTGCCCTATTATTTTAAAATCTAATGAACACATTGTGCAGAATGTAGACCGGGGTAAACTTCTTCCTGCATATCTTCCGATTTGATTCCATGGGAGTCTAGAGTGGAAAGTTCTGGGTTTCCTTGTTTCTTTGGTTGCAGTGCAGCTGTACGGTTGTTTCTTACCTATTCACCTCTTTATTACTTGGGGGACTTAGCAAAATGCTGTCCTTGATCTTCAGCCCTTTTTATCAAGTCACTGCCTCGTGCTAAAAGTAATCTAAAAGGTGTTTAGATGCTGCAGTTACAATGCCACTCAAAGTGGCTCTAATTATTCCTGAGAGGAAAGTTTTGAATTGGGAGTGTTTGTTGAGAAGATGAAAGCTCCATGTTTGTTCCTTCCTCCCGGATGGGAAGGGGGCTGTGCTCGCACTGCCTCCTGCAAACACACACGAGGCCCAGCTGAGCACTGCAAGGAGGGCCTTGGGGATGCCTCCAGCTGCTGGGGCTGGGAGAGGAAACAGCCAGGCTGTGGGTGCTGAGGAAAATCCCAGATGGAGCGGACAGCTAACCCAGGACAAGCTCTAGAGGCACCTGAATCCTCTGTTCCATGAGAAGGTAGGGGCTCTCAGCTGTGCAGTGCCTCCCCTCCCTCTATCACTCCCCAGGGGCTTCAGCCAGCCCCACATTTCAGGCTGTACCCACATGGCGGTTCTGCAATGCTATTTTCTTCATTTTTGTTATATAAGTCTCCTTAATTGAGGAAGAAGGTGAAAGATTGGGACTAACATTGTGTTTCTGCGCTGTAGTTCTCACTGTCAGATGAAGGTGCAAAGCTGCACTAAATCCAGGTGATGGCTCACAGCAGACCTCTGACAGGAGCCATGTGATTAGTTAGATGTCCATATAAATACCTATTTGCACTATATTACTACCTTATCATATATTATTTGGAATTTCATCCTGATTGTCTGTATTTATTACATACAATTCATACATTTATTTATTACATACAATTCATGTATTTATTATACACAATTCATACACTTATTACACACAATTCATTTATTACATGCACAATTCTTACTGTTTAGTTCAATGAGAAACAAATTTCTGTGAATTTGGCTGAATAAAGCTGTGTTTGTTCTTGTTAGTTATCCAAAGTCTCGTTCTTTCTATGCATTATCTCCATTTCTGGGCATTTTTCCCCTTCATTTACTCCAAAAATTACTTCAATACTAATGAAAACTGAAAGACAGCCAAGACAGGGTGAACTTTTGGACAATTTATGCAAACATGACAGATGAGAATAGATTTACTATAAACATGCCAGGCACAAAAGACTTGACTGCTTTTTAAATACAGTGATACTGGAAGAGATTTATGGATATTTTCAACTGTTCATTAAAGAGAAAGATATTTTGAAACTATAGGCACTATCCTTTTATCTGTTTTTGCCTTCCAGGCTGAGTTGCAAATGTTTGATGTTTTCTTCACCAAAAAATAAAAGTAGTTATGAATTTATTTCTCCCAAGCACTTCAATTTTTGTGTCAATTTACAGTTTTTATTGCATTTCTGGCAGTCCAAATTATAGTGTTTGGAGAGCACCTAGAGTCCACAGCTCTGAGTTTTCCGAAAATAGGAATGAAGTTCACTTAGTGATGCTTTCTGGCCACTGTCTTTTTTCTTCTCCGTTGTCATAAAAGGTTAATAAAATCTATGAATACTTTAACTGCCTGCTAGACCAACCAACCAATAAAAGGTTATTCTGATCTAAGTTACTGGAAGCCTCTTGAACTGAGAAAGCTAACATGCAGTAACTAGTACCTGCTGGATCAGATTAATAAAATGCAAAGTCCTAGAGATGAAAATCATGTCTAAATATGGTCCTTGTAGTTGTCCAAGGCATCAGTTCCTAGAGACAGATAGGCATATACTTAACTGTATATTCTCAGAGTCTGCTTCTGTGCCCTTAAAAATCAATAGTAAGCCTTGCTTTCAACTTCAGTGCAACTGAGGTTGTTGGCAGTCGATGATTTTGCAAGATCAGTTCAAGATATCGGAATAGTTTCATGGAATTATTGGATTCTTTCTTTCTAAAATAGTGTTAAACTCATATAAGTAGTAAGAATTTAAACGTGAAAATATATGCTCTTGCATTGCTTCTTAAAAACAGTGTATCTTGCCAAATCTCTCCTATCAAGTCAAAACAGTGCACCAAAATGATAGCAGGAAGAATTGTGCAGTGCTTGAAAAATCTAATCCTGCATACTCACAGTGCTGACTATGCCCTCATTCTTTGAAAAGATGGAGAAAGAGCAGATTTGGATGGAAAATAACAGTTTTCATCGCAACCTTAGAAAGATATTGACAATTTTTTAGCAGAATCATTTGAGCATTCTGAGAGCCTTCAAAAAAAGGCAGAAACCTTAATAAATGCTTCATTTTGGAAAAATGGATAGCTGAAAGTACTATTTTAGCAATTTTTACTGGACTTGCATTTCCAGCTTTTTAAAATTAATTTAAGAGCCACAAACCAACACACATTTATGAATAACATAATGAAGTTGGAGATAATGCAAATGTCTTTATAAATAACATGGTATAGCTTAAATCATTATTTTTAATGCTTCTTTTTTTTTTTCCCCCTATAAGAACAGGTCTGTGCTGGTCTGCATTAATTAAATCTAGGTAGGATTCTAAGGCCAGATCATCATTACTTCTGTGTCGCTGATTTAAATCTGCAGTAAAACATTTCTCCATTTAGTTTGGTGCTTTTGTGTCATATTTCATACACTAGTTGTCTCTTAATTAAATCCATGATGGCCCACCAACACAGACTATTAAAATAACTATACTTTGCACTTGACATATTTATGAGACAGATTCATAAGAGTATAGACTGATACTTGAACTACTCACTGAGAAATGCTAATAAGATTATGATGAAGGTAAGATTAGAACATTCGTCTCCCTTTTTGCTTCTCTCTTCTTTTTAGAAATTTATTTTTATAACTGCAATTCACTATTTCTATTCCAGGCTCTTTGATGTTGTTGTATATACCAACAGTTCTTTCTGTGTGGATTTATTGTGGCAATGAAGAGTGGGAAACTGCTAATTTATATTACATCAGTAAAGTGCGTAACTATCGTGTTCCTTGAATTATGAATGTTTGCAGACGTCTGTAAAACCTTCGCATGGGATTGACATGTGCAAGATAATACCTTTGGAATTGGGTGATGAAAAATATGGATTATCATGAAGTGCCACATTGTTTTTCCTTTACTGCCTTACTCCTTCAGAGCTCCTGCAGGTGTAGGGCCGGCTGAGTCTGCTCCTCTGTGAGGGAGGAGGCAGTGGCGTTGTGCCTGTGACCCCTCACTGCATGTTGTGCCAGGCAGGATGTGGCCTTGGTTCCCCAGCTCCATGTTTGAGAAAAACATTGCTGAAAGAGCTGCTGAATGAAAATCATCAAGGATTTCTATAATTTTTCAGGACCAAGATGTTCACCTCTGAGGGATCTTTCCTCTCTCTCCCTTTTTTCCCATTCACATTCTTTCATGGAAGGGCTCCCACTCATGACTGTGTCTGGGGTCCAGGTGTGGTCACAAATGGAGAGCAGCTTGGAGGGTATTAATTTTTCAAGTGGGGTATACAGAAACCCATAGCTATATGGTGTTCAGATTTTTTTGAGGGTAATACATCCCTGTGCTTCATTCTGATATTCTCCATGAAAGTGGCAAAAACATCAAATGTTGGGATTTGATGTAGAGATAAATACAATATTAGAAAGTAAGAATAATAAAGATATATTAAATATTTCATCCTCTACAGAAATAAACCAGCTACAGTTCAGGGAGCTTCACTAAACACATTAAGTCTAATAAAATCGCCTACACGTACTCCTGACACTAGTAGTAATTAAAATAACTTGTTTCAAAAAACTGGTCCTATACATGAATACTTATTGGCAATTATTTCTAAGTTCTTCAAACCAAAGATAAAGTAATTTGATTCACACACAATGTTCTTGTAAACGTCGTTCATACTGAGTTTTATATGCAGCTTAGGACTGTTAATTGCCATTTTGAGCCTCACAGTAAAATAGAGTTCAATATGTCGCTTTTTCTAAAGTATTGAGAAATGTTTGAGAAATGCTTGTCTTAGTCTAATCAACTGTGAATAATTTATTTCTTAGTCCTACTTTTCAATATAAATGGATCTGACTTTTCTCCGAGCTTCTCAAGTCTAATCAACTTGTTACATTCATTTAATTAGGGAAATCTGTAACGAACTGTGAAATGTATGTACCAACAGGCTTTTTTGTTGTGTAAAATTGGCATATCTTCATTGTGAATGTGATTGTGACTGTTTATACTGACAGCCTCTACTAAACAAATAATTTTTTTTTTCTACACAGATAGGTCAATATAAATAGCATATAAGCTCTTTTCTGAGCCACCTCTCTCCTGTTGGACCCACCACCCAGCTTCCCCAATTCACGCAGTTGTAGCTTTCAGGCAATTCTCATTTCTGCGACAGAAGTGTTCTTCCATGCTTCAGACTGGAGGAGGATGTAGTAGAGGTGTGACATATAAGAGTGTGGATAAGAGACTTTTTAGTCACAGTGAGCCTGAAAAAGATCATCACAGTAGAATATTAAAACACTGGCACAAGCTTATGGTCAGGATCTGCACGTCACACAGTTACCCACAAAGGGGTGAGCTCAGGCACTGAGTAAAAGTCCTGTGTTTCCCAGCCTGACATAATTTGTTCTCATTTCTCTGAGAAACAGCATCATAGGAAGGGTAAAATAAAGGGCTCTTATATCGCATATGCATTTGTTTTTAAAAAGACTATATTTATTTGTTAAAAGATGTTCAGAAGTCCATCATTTCTCCCATATTCCTGTGATATGAGAAAATTTTTTATTAAAAATAAAGAGAGATGCTGCGGGGATTGATGTATTATTTTTTTTCTCCTTGTGCTCAGACAAATTCTTCAGACTCAGAGAAAAAGTCCTCAACCCTGGTCTAAAATACTGTCCAGTGCTTATGGGTTATAATATGAAAATCATCAAAACTGTCCTTGACAGGATGTTTCTTTCAATTAGTTGATTAAAATGGTTTATTGTTGCCTACAGCATCATTACTTTAAATGTATTTTTTTACAAAGAGCAGATGTGTCCACTGTTTCTCTTCATGTGGTTTCTGATAAATATGGAAGTGAAATTACTATCTTGGCAGATCCCTCCCATGGAATTTCAGAAAGGGAGAGGGAAAGGTGAGGGGCTCAGTGATGGGGCTGGGGTACCTGCTGAGTTGGGAGTGCAGGGCAGGGCAGCGGTGGCAGCACTCGGGCACAGGGGTACAATGGCACTGCAAAGAATTGGAGGCAAAGCATGCAAACCTGCAAGCACAAAGTGCTCAGAGTAGGAAAAAAATCTGGCCAAAATCTGGAATTATTTGCCTGGTAATGCTGTATGCCTGCTCTGACAAAGCAAGAAGAGGGTTTTCACATTTTTTCAGATGGTCAACTCTAAAGTTTCAGTCAGAACATGGAAGTGGAGAGCAGCTGATCCTAAAACACTAAATAAGGTTGCATCAGTATAAAATCTTATCTATCTACTGCTGTGACAAAGAAAACTGAAAAGTCTAAGTCTTCAGGATGCACATTATACTTTCTTTGTTTTCTTGTCCCATCCATGTTTGATGGGGGAGCTGAAATCTCAATACTATTTCCAAATCTAGGGGTCATTTCAAGCCGTAGTTATGGTATGAATACCTTTCCATCCCCCAGCACAATTTTTCTAAGGCATGTTGTCATCTAATGATAATGGAGTCTTTCATTAGTGAATCACAAGTTATTGGACATGTGACCTTATGTTCAATAAATATTTATTTGAGAATTATAGGTTAATTAATTTCCATTGTTTCTGTTTTAATTCTATACATGCTTATACTATACAATTAGAGACAAACGCAGAGAACCACGAGTAAATGTTGCTCATACAAAATGTTTCTATTACCCTTTACTTTTAAAACCATTAATAGATTATTAGGAGATACAAACATAGGAGGCCATGGATCATATTTGCATGTTAATGAAATTCATGAATTATACATTATTTGCTATGGAGAGTACTAGAAACAATATTCTTCCTTTCTAATAGTTATAAAAGCTAGCAGTTTCCTGGAGCACACATCACATCCCCTCTGCAATACCTTCTAATAGAAAGAAAGAAATCCAGCTCTTCAAAGCAATCTCTCACTAAATGAAATAGATTTGTTTGTGTTGCTTTGCAACACACAAGTGTGACAGTTCATTTTAAACAAAATAGTTTTAATAATGTCATTACTAATATCTATTTGGTCATCTCTCTGAAAAATGTTGTTTTAATAGGAATGTTTCATTTTAATAAATGGCAGAAGGGGCAAGCTGCCCTGAGTCAGCAGGAAGTGGATATACACCAGAGAACAGGCTGATTGTGTTAGATTCATCCAGAACATTGAACAGCACACAGACAGTCCAAGAAAAAGCAACTGGCTGTATTCAAATGATTAGTCTTACTGCTATGCTGTAGCACAGATTCACACATTCTTCTATTATTCCTTGACCTTCTGCCAAAAACTCCCACTTGAAGTAATAATTAGAATTAGTGCTTCCAGTGCATGCTTCCATCTTCCTAACAAACAGTAATGAAATGTGGCTTTTACAAAATATGGAGTTAATTAAACTTCTTTTTTGAACATTGTTTGATTAATACAGTTCCCCTGTGCTAGCCCCTTATTATGCCTGACTATCTCTACCTGAGGTTGGTGAATTGGAAGAAAAGCACTATCAATAGGATAAGTGAAATTTTAGAATTTTGCACTTTAAATTTGCTTATGGGTTTGGTTTTTTTCCCTTCTTGTTTTGTCTCTGTCTTGGAATAAACTGGAAAGATAGCCATTATTTGTAATCTTGTTTTTTTAAGTTGAAGACAGTATGTGTATTATATAACTACTCTACAAATACCCTCAGCATGAATATAAAGAACTCATATATCGAGTGCTACAAGATAATAAGTGGATTTCTAGGCAAGCTTTTTGAAAAGATGTCTCAGCACCGTATTGCTTAATAACACTATGCAAACAGATATTCTGATTTCATTTTTTTTAAATATTATTTCATGCTTTTTTATTGTCTGCCTTAATTATCCAAATGCCGAACAAGTATAGTCTTTTGATTGATGAGAGTTCCACCCCTTTACCCACACCCCTGCAGATATGAGGCTCCACAGTTTAGTACCATAAATCACTGTGATTGTATAACTTAACTACTGTATGATCAGAGATCACATGCAGTGTTAGCCTGGATATGCATTTATCCTCTGTTATGAATGTTTTAGGGCTAAATTTATTCTGGATGTTTGGAGAAATATAAGTTTCTTCACTTAAGAAAGGAATGCATTTTAAATAAGCAATTCTCCAACAACTGGAAATAATCACAAAAGTGTTCTATTTTCAAGTTTCATTACTGAGAGTCATTTCATCACTTTAGGAGAAATCCTTTCAGAGAAAACAACAATTAAACCCCTCCCCCAGGCTCTGACAGCTAACAATCTATGGATCAGCCATTTTAGTAATTAACCACAATTCCTCTGATTTGTGAATTTCCAGATGATGAGGCAGGAAGCAAGTTACATCTTGGAGAAATTGCCCTCAGGAGAGAGGAAAAACTATTGCGAGGTTGACAGCACAACCTTGCACCAGCACAGTTTCCCTTCCCCAGTGGTTCAAGGAGTTCCAAGCACCCTCCTGTAAATCATCAGCTCACATCTATTTATTATCTTCCAGCCCACTGCACAACACTATCTGTTACACACGGATACCAGCAATATTACAAGGTGGACTCAAGGGATAAGAGACAGCAAACCCTGCACACCTCCTATGCCTGAGTCACACCCGCTATAAAGTCAGATTCTGTTCATAAAGTGCATACTGTTGTCAGAAATGAAACAATATGAACCAAATTGTTTCAGAGTTGGGGTTTTTTTAGTGTTTCTCCAATATGCTCGATCTTATCATCTTTGTGTTATTATACAGAGACAAAATTTATCTGCATAGCAATGGACAAAATGTCTACGAAAATATTGCTATCCATTTAATGATCGTTGTTATATTTGGAGTAGGCACCAGCCTCACTCTGTGATGCTTGTCCTGGAATATCAATAAATAAATCATAAAAGCCAATGCTTCAAATATTGAAAAATTCACACTTCAAACTGTGTTTTGAACTATGCTGAGAGCAATGCCTCAGATTGTCCTTTTGCTTTATATGAACAGAGGAAATTCAAAGTAGGAGGAACTCTCTCCCGGGATTTGGCACCAGGGAGTGCCACAAACCATCAGCCTTCCTGTCTCTGCTGTGCCAACGGAGCCTCTCCAGGGATGTACCACGAGGAGCAGACAGTGTGTCTGGGGAGTTAATGTGGCTTCAGATGAAATTATCTCCTGCAGAATCCATCTTGCCTGTTGGTTGTGTGCACGCAAAGAAGCCAGGCACAGCAGGGCAGGTGAAGCCTCCAGAAAAGTAGGAGCATCTCCTTATGACTCTGTTAAGTGAAGTTCCTTCCACCACAGACTCGAGGTGCTGGTGAAAATGTGACATCACAACTCTTTTTATCCTTCTGTCTGGGGTACGGTATGAACTCACTGAAGTCCACTCCTCACTCATAACAGATGTCTAAATTATATGGTGTGAATGACAGCATTAAAAGGAGAAACAGGGGCAAATGCCCTTCTGAGTACACTCTAGTTCAAGCACAAGTGTTTGGGCTGATGCCCAAGTTACAGAATGACTTTCCATGGTTTGTGTCGTGCGGGGGACCACTAGGCAATTCTAATGCTTCTTTTTCTTTTGCTTTAAAAGGACTGAAATTAGCTGAAAGCTAAAATTAAGAATGGTATTTTTTAGTAATTGTAAATGCAATGCTAGACTAGCACTGGAAGTCGCTCAGGTACATCTATTCAAAGACCAGAAGAAAAAGCACTGCAGGTACTCAGTGCTTTATCTGATTAGAAAACAGCCTGGCACAGATGTGATTTCTGCTCCATATATCAAGCTATGGCAGGTTTTTGCTGCTTCATTATGAAAGCATCTGAAGTAAAATAGGTTTTGGAACATAAAAAATGACAAATTTGGAAAAATATCTATATGCCAGATGGGTGTAGGAAGAATCCTTGTGACAAATATATTATTAAGGGAATATGCATAAGGAAAGAAAGTGTGCCCAGTTCTTCCAAGGATGGACAGGCAGGAAAGGTAGCGTCTCACTGTGTCTAATGTATTCTCATCTAATCTAAATCTAATTAATTATGTTGCATCGCTAACATAAAATCCAGTCACCGCACACTACAATGGTCGGCTGTGGTGGGGCTTCGGCACGGCTGGGGATTGCTTTGCCTTCCCTGTTTTTCTTTGCTTTCCTCGGGGACTGCGGGTCAGGGTGACAACATCTCCACTGAGGAAAGGCTAATGCAAGCAGACGGGGCTTTAGCTGCGCACCACAGGCAGGACGGCATGAGCTCATCCTCGTCTCCTGCGTTACCACTGCTCCGGCCTCCACCAAGGATGCTGCTTGGAGGGGTTTTATTGCAGACCGTGGGTGCTCCAGGATGCCTTCTCCTTGTGCTTTGTGAAGAAATGGGGGCACTTTGGCAGTGTCTGTCTTACTGAACTGATGCTTTTGAAGCTGAGTTCAATGTCTCAGAGATGGTGCCCGGAGTGCCTGGGCAGACAGCTCAGCACACAGCTCCTGGCAGTCGGCTTCCCAGTGTAGGAAGGGTTATTGTTATCCGTAGCTCGCCCACCTGAGCTCCCTGGCTCAGAACACGTGACGCTGTGTGGGACAGCACAGGGGTGCACGAGGTTGGGGGTACATGGTGCAGAGGAAAGAGGCTGAGCTCTGGTGCCAGGAGGCTCCTGGACAGGCTGGGGCTATGCAGTCGGTCAGGTTGTGGGGCAAGACTGATGCAGGGGGAAACTTCAGCTTTGCAGTGTGGGGCCACTGGGGTCCTGCAGTCCAGACTGGAGGGGCCAGGCACCTCAGGTTTCCTCAGACCCCTGAGGAAACATTACTGCCTCTTCCTTGTAAGCAGGCAAGTCAGTATTTCAGCTTTAGAATAAATAACCCAGAAGAACATGCATGCTCTGGCCAGTTCTGCATCTGGGTGGCCGACCAGATCTGATATGGTTTTAATAGCAGCTGGACAAGCTGCAAGGAGATATTACACACAGCTGAAAGGGATCTTAGCCTTTGGTTATTCCCAAAGATGGGATACCATACCTGGTTTGGATTCAAGGTGCAAATGATCTAGCCATGATTAATGTCTTCAGTACTGAAATAGAAATGGAGGCAGGGAGGATGGTACAGCAATCGTATCATTTGGCTTCACATAATTTGATTTTACTGATGCCTCATCCACTATCTGATTACTCTTTTCCTATTTAAACCCAGCCAAACCAGGAGGCTTTTGCTCACAGGCTTTTAGTACTATTTTATTTGGCAGTTATGGAATAAAAGAATTTTAGTATTGCCTTAGAATTTCTCCTGACATCTATCACAACCAATCCAGCTCATATGTGGGTGAACTGTGTTTTGATCCAATTATAAAATTCTATTGGAGTCTTGTTACATTCTTATCCCATGTGCATGTTGAAAAATTCAAGAGCAAAAGAAAATTCTACAAAATGTCTCTCATTTACTGTAGGCTTGGAGACACAAAACTGCATCACACAGTCATTTGTGGAGGCTAATAGCAAACTAGAAAAACAACATATTCCTCAGGAAGAAACCCACCCTGTTAATCAGCAACAAGATTTAGAGGGAGAATAGTAAAATCTGTGTATAGATATTGCTGTCAATAGTCTTTTGGGGAAACAGCCTTAGTTTTGTTAATTGTAGAAACAAGAACTTTGCTGGTGTTCTTCCAGCAGTTATGATGACAAAGGATCCACCAGTTTGAAGACAATTTTGAGAATGCATAAAAATGACAAATTTGAAGAGAACCCAGACACAAAATGACCAAGGTAACACATAGCTAATATGCCAATGGTTTGTAATGACTATAATACTTAAAAATGAAGATACTTTACACACTCTTAGCATCTCTATAACAAAAATGCATTATTAAATGAACAACTCATGCACTATTTGATTACCATGATGGAGAATTTGATGTAGGATATTTCTGTCTCAACACTTCCACTGTCTTCAGGCTACAAAATATAATAAAACAAATTAGATGTCTTCCTTGCTCATTAGCTATGGAAAGCCACACAGAGGCATAACTTCACAGAGTGCTTCTCCCAGCAGAGGAAATACACTTGCTCCAAAGTTTTGTGGCTCCATTGTGGTGGAGTCTTTTACACACCTACTATCAGAATCACCATCCTAAAGCTGTGTGACTAGGAAGGTGCCAGGACCAA